ATCGTGATTACGATTCCAATGTAATAAATTATAACCATGGTATATTAGTGTTTGATCTTTTTTATTTTATATATATATATATATATATATATATATATATATATATATATATATATATATATACCGTATATATAATCATATAAGTATAAAGGAAAAAAACAATAGGAAAACAGCAGTTTTAGACGACGTGTTTCGTCTAATGTCGACATTTCAAGACAAAAACTACATTACTTTATTGAAAAATGTATTTATAAACAACAAACAAAATGCCGTTAGCAACGAGAAGAATTTAGAAACTCTACTGTTAATTCAGATGGTCAAGTAAAAAATTACGTCAATTATTTTATGTTTGAAGAGAATATTTTCACATGTAGAAATATTGTTTGTATTGTGTTGACGGATTCAACCATTTTCTTTTGCTTTCTTGATATAATTGTTATGTACGTTGGCTCGGGAGAGTAGTAATTCTGTTAGGAAAGGTGAGATTGGGGAAAAAAAAACAATTATTTGTTGCTTATAGATACACTGCTTCAAGAAATTCATTTCGTTTTTTTTTGCCTTCAGTAAGTCAGAACGCGTCGGCTAAAGATACAGTTTTTTCTTATCTTTTATCCTATATATATATATATATATATATATATATATAAATATATATATATAGATATATATATATATGAAGAAAATATACGGAAAAAAAAAACAAAAAAACAAACAAAAATCCTAATATGCAATTATACTGTTTTAATGTTAATATAATGTCAACGTCGGACGTTTCGGTCTAATAGACCATCTTCAGAACATATTCATAAAAACATAATTAACATAGACCATATTCAATTCAACATGAAAAGACGATGGACATAAAAGCAATGCCAATCCAAACAGATAACTGTCCTGAAGATGGTCTATTAGACCGAAACGTCCGACGTTGACATTATATTAACATTAAAACAGCATAATTGCATATTAGGATTTTTGTTTGTTTTTTTTCCGTATATTTTTCTTCATATATATATATATATATTTGGTGCATATTTCATTAAATAATATAGACAATTTTTGTCTATTTATTTTTTATAAATTCTTTTCATAACGTATGATAAGCTTAATAATATTATCATTAAAAGAAGAAAGAAAATCACAATATTGATACATACTTTTTAATCCTATCTAAGCTTTCGGTTTACATAAGCCATTATCAAAGATGGCAATTGCATTACAACATATTAAACAATACGCGGACAAAACAATAATGATAGTCTGTTTATATTTACATGAAAGATTTCCAAGCAACGACAAACTCGTGCATACGAGACGCTGGAAGCGAAAATCGTACCGCATCTCATGACGTCACACACGACCAGGCGAGAGTGAAAACGAGAAGTATTAAGTATGGGAAGCCGTTGGTATAAACCAATGGCTTCTGTTATCAATTATAGGTATTTAAGAATATTTGTGAAGATTTCATAGTTTATTTTCTTCAAGTTAGGTTTCAACTGTTATATGTATATAGCTTCAAGCATTTTTAGTTTTTGTTTATTGTTTTCATATTTAAGTATAGTTGTATTTTCAACGAGGCTTTTCCGGAATTGTGTACCCAGCCAGGCATGTTGTTTTAAATGTCTAAAAATGTTAGAGTTATCATTCAACTGTAGAGTCAAGCGTCGTGAAAGCGAGTTTGTGTTTACATAAAATAAGTAGACAAAACTTGTCTATATTATTTAATAAAACATACATCAATATATATATATATATATTATGAATTAATTTCGAATTCGCTTGAGAATGAAATGGAACTAATGCTTTTAATTTAATTGCAAAATTAAATTCGGGGCTTTTAGCTTCTATTCTTGAAACATGGTTAGAACTGTGTAGCGGAAAAAAACATATTTTAAATCAATTAATTTATAATATTAATGCTCTGTAAATTTACATTGAGCACTATTTTGTAAAAATAAAAATATCTATAAGAACACCGGATTATATATCTTACTGTTCTTTTTTATTTATATATATATATATATATATATATATATATATATATATATATATATATATATATATATATATATATATATATATCAAGCAGTTCGGTTCCTAGGAAGTGACAGCCCGGACACCAGCTTATATGATTTGATTCTTGTGGTGAAGACTTTAATTGTGATTATGGAATGTACATCATCTTCGATGTTTAAAACGCAAAAATAAACAAAAAGAAAATGGCGATAAACCAACAAAAAAAAAAGAAATAAAATAAACCTGTTTTGACGCACGAGTAACTGACAGATTATTGGTCACCTTTATTCAACAATCAGCGCCGATTTTCCCACAACAGACAGACAACACGAAGGCAACGTTCGACAGGAAATAATATACATTAGCTAAGGTTACAGTAATAAAGTCTGTCAAAATTCACCTAATTAGGTAAATTAACAATATAATTAATCATACAAAATTATGCCCAGGAAAAAACAAAAAGAATAAAAAATAGATAGACAGCACACTGCGTTGTGTAACGCGAGACACGCGTCCACATAGAGGAATATTTAAAAAAAAATATTAAATAAATGAAAATAACGTTAAAAAATGAAAAGAATTGCTTAGGTTTTGAAAAGATATCATTTTTACTGATATTTAAATTTTATCTAAACCATTCTTACTTGCATTATTTACATTATTCAGACTGTTATCCTCATCTTCATTGCCATATTCACAACGTTACGGCCTCTATATCCCTGAGATGAGGTATTATGATTACTTGCATTAATTACATTATTCGGACTGTTATCCTCATTTTCATTGCCAGTCCGAATAATGCAAATAATGCAAGTAATCATAATACCTCATCTCAGAGATATAGAGGCAGAAACGTTGTGAATATAGCAATGAAGATGAGGATAACAGTCGGAATAATGTAAAAAATGCAAGTAATCATAATACCTCATTTCAGAGATATAGAGGCCGAATCGTTGGGAATATTGCAATGAAAATTAGGATAATAGTCCGAATAATGTAAATAATGCAAGTAATCATAATACCTCATTTCAGAGAT